CAAGAATCATTAGAAATAAAATTAAAATATGTTCATGTACTGAAATCTTCAAAAAAATGATTATCGTTTTCTTTTTTTATTCAGAGAAAAAAAAACGCCCTTGTGATCAATTTATACAAAAAGCAACGATAAGAATATAATATAGAGTCACTCTTGGATCGCAACTGCAGCTATGGCTGAGAAAAACTACAGCTATCCTTCTTTGGAAAGCTTCTATCATTGTTTAGAGTGCGAAAAGATTTTTACAGACAACCATACCCTGCAAACGCACGTGTGTTTAAAAACGTTGAATGAAATTGCCAGTACAGGGCACAAGAATCCCTCGAAGCCTTTCCAATGCAACAAGTGCCCGAGAATATTCACCGATTCCATCAAACTGGAGCATCACAAAACCATGCGCCATTTTTACGAGTGCGTTCTCTGCTTGCAGTCTTTCAGTCGCAGCCGGAATCTCAGAATGCACATGCGAACCCAGCATTGTCTCTGCTGTATATGCTTGAGGTATTTCTATGATTCCACCAGCCTCGCGCAACACAAACGTTCCGATCACTTGTTACCTGCCCTTTTTCACTGATTGCGTGTGGTCTCGATTTACTTTCATACGAGAAAAAAAATATGTGTATTTTTTAATGCTACGACAGACTTGATACGACAGTTGTGTTACTAGTGCGTTGTTACGTTTAATAAAAAGAAGAAAAAAAAAGGATTTGTGCTATTACAATAACTGTATGTACTTTAAAGATGAATTTTTAGTTTTCTTTTGTAACCACAACATTTATCGTAACAAGATATGTATTTCGAGTTTCAATAAAGAATGGCTTAAATCAACACACAAACAGTGATTTTTTTTAAACAAGCGTATGTTACGTATACAATTGGATAAAATATGATAGAAAAAACAGCTGATCTAGGCACAAATTAGTTCAACTAAATTAAAAGTGGGATGGACAACTTCCGGGTATTAATGTAAATAAAGAACCGCCAAAATTCATAAAAGCATTCTTTACATTAAATCACTGTATCTCAATGTTGTTGTGCATACTTGAAAGAAGGAAATCCTATTTATTTTGGTTGCATTTTAAACGGCGGAGGTGTCAATTATTCAACTTTGCGACACTCAAAAGATTCAGAGGCTATAATTTCAATTGAAAATGTTTTAGCTCACAGGAGTATATTATCAGGGTGAAAAAAAAAAAAAAAAAAAAAACCTTTGAGACTTCTCACATCAAGATAAATGCCTTTTTTTAATATTAAAATTCTCTACATTGTCATTGTTGGGAATATATTGAGCAAAGATCCAGTTCTCCCTATATTCTCTTGGAAATCTCTTCCGAGTGAAACAGTTGAGCTTCAAGATCTTTCGAAAACCCTCCACGTCGAAAACGAAAATAGTACCTCACACGTAGAAAGAGTTGCACGAAAATTTTCTTTTTTTTTTGCTGCTGAAAACCACAAAAAGCGAGGAAAAAATCCATTCAATATAAAACTTTAGCAGCACTTCGCGAAGCGCTTCAAAACATAAATCCCATCAAGCTCAGCGATTGAGGCACACACAAGCTCGACAACTCGCTCGGTGTGGCTATTAATTTTAGTGCTTACCGCCTTGCTCGCTGCAGAATCCACGTCGTCGCGACGTGCATATTATCATGTATTTGTACACTCACACGTACCGATGCACGAGCCCATGTGCATACGCAACGTAAATAAGATAGAAAGAGAGAGAGATATGTAAAGGAACGCACGTGTAGGTGCACGAGGCTACACCGTATACTCGCGGCAAGGTCGTATACCGCGGTTGATTGTTATTTCGAACATTATATAGAGGTGCTATTTGTGGACTCACTCCTTCCTCTCTCTCTCTCTCTCTCTCCTTCGGTGGTAAATATATTTGCACGCCTGTCGGCCTTTTAGAAGTCAACGGTGCGTTGTTGTTACTCACGTACAGGTATAAGTATGTATACAAGTACGCAATTCCTGGAGTATGTCCACATTGGCTAGCTTCTATTACGGCATGTCATAATATATAGTGCACGTGGGACTGATTTCAACCATATATTACACATACCTACTTTTCAAACGATTAACGACGATTAGGTCGTTGGCTACCGCACACGGCAGTCTTTATTTTTTAGTACCAGCGCCATCGCGGTGACAGCTTAGTCTTTCTCTCTCTGATAACTCAGATGGTGTTTCGAGTACGTAAAATATGTATTTTTGCTACAACTACTTCGATACTGTGTGTTTAGGTGCACGTATAAGGCAAAGCAAACATGGATGTTGAGCTAATTTACGTACGATCTTGAGTCTCGATATTTTTCAGAAGAATTCAAAGTAACTTAGCAATTGTTTTTATTTTTTTTTTATTTTTTTTTAGTATGGACTAGAAATGATCCAGTTAACTTTACTATTTCCACCTGCTTTTTTTTCAAACGGAGCAAAAAGAAAGTCCTCTGTACCCTTAGTTCTTACAACATGCAACATCAATGGAAAAAATGGCCCACACAAAGGAGCCTGCACAAGGTAACGAAGTAACAATCGGCAAGGGCATAGCAGCGCGTCACTCGATCATCAAAGGGAAAACGGAAGGGTCCGTGCGATAGTGACAAACCACCGGGAGCTATACATGTAGCAGCTCGTGTAGCAGCGCCCATCCCGCTCTTCCACGCGAACGAGGAATTTCTCGTGCCTGACTTGGTGCACATCCAATGGTTGCAACTCGATACACCACGCAGTATTACACAGACGACTAAACCAGAGTACTCCGGGATGATCGACCGCGTCGACCGCACATACCATCCCTCCGAAATCTATAAAGTAGTCTCCCGTTCGCTCCATAATGCACGTATGCGGGGTATACTTGTAAATCAGGGAAGAGTCGTTGGTTTGTGAGGATAGCGATGTTAACGATCATCATACCCGCGACTCCAGATCACAGGGTGTATAATTCAGCGGCTGCTAATTAGTTTTGTTATGCCAGTGTGCGAATCTCCTATACACTGTGGTCCACGTGAACGAGAACGCGAATATAATATATACATTACATTCTCTCTCCCGGCTTTTGCTTGTCGATGTAATTATTGATGGCATCTTCGCTATACACGGGCTTTTGCGGTGGCTAGTTTTCGTTTGCGTGTGCGTTTCGTTGTTATCATGGTTTTGAGCGAGATTCGCGGTACATCTGCTCGCGGATAATCAGAGTCAATTCATCGGAATCAGTTAACAATTAATTCATCAACGACGTTAGAAAGATATTAATGAGAAAGTATGACTGGAATTTCGTTCCGTATCATTCTATAACAAGTAGGTAGGTATCGTGTGCAATTTATCGCGAGACCTCGTATTAGACTGTCTCAGTTAGATGAAAAAAAAAATTAAGTTTGATGAAAATAAAATAATTTATTGATAGTAAAATGTATTATTGTTAAATAATTTTTTTTCTGAGGTGTGTTTAAGTGCCAAAAAATGTTCTTAATCTGCCTAACAGCAACGTAAAACATCAAGTAGAGGGTAGTATAGTACAAACTACACGTAGGGCTCCTTTTTAGATTTGTTACACTTGTATGAGATAAAACATTGTGTCGTCATTTTTCACCTTCGGTTTTGTGTCTCCTCGGTAGTACAAGAAGATTTTTGTGCTCTAGAAAAAAGTTTTGGGTCGAATATCAAAGGAAAAAATTTTGGAAAAAGAGTAATGGATAAAGATGATATAAAAAATCAATTCAGTTTTTTTTTGGTTCTAATAAAAAAGGGGAATACCCGATGCAATTTGATTTTCAAAGATAAATTCTAAAGTGTACCAATTAAATTGAGAGTACAGCTTGCATTTACTGGGTGAAGAGTAAAATATCTGGCTTTGTACAGAATACAAACGAGACAGAAAAATCGTTTCAAGTGCACTTTACAAAAGTTTCCATTTCAATTTGTTATCGTGCAAGGCTGAATTTAAAAAAAAAAATGTTTCTGCTTAAGTGTACCAAGTGGAACTTTACGTTGATTAACTAGCTGATGAAAAGTTTAAACTGTGGTGATAATTCATATAATTTTACTAGTAAAGTTGATCAAGGGATAACAAAAAATACTACTAATTATGGTAGAAATTCACACAATGGACCTTCTTTATTAGTTATCAAATTATTTTACAAAAATTAATTGGTTGCTTTTAACTCTGTAAAACAAGTCTAACATAATGAAAAAAAAATTGTTATTTAGTTTAAACAATTATTAAAACTTTTAAATCATTGAAATTATTTTTTTATTTGCAATTTTTTATTCAAATACTACATTTTTTTTTTTATTCAACGAGATACAAACGTAAAATATAAATCGTGAAAACTCAAAAGAGGGATTTCATTTCATCGACCTCGTTTGTTCGGCAGAGCTCTTTTTACTGACGAGTAGTTTTATGAAGGATCATATTTACTTTTCGTATTTTTGATGAATTTAATGTTTGAAAAAAAGGCCAAAATAAAACACAGAAAATCCTAAAAGTCCTTGCAATACAATCTAAACGTACTTTACCACGAAGTTTCCTTTGTTCCAAGTAAGAAATAACACACTCAATCACTTCCAATTATCCCCTCTAATTAAATTGTCTCCTGCAAAAAGAGAAGCATTCGGTGCTACAGCGACCAATCCTATACTCATTGGTTATTGAACACAATGAATTTGAAAAAAGGTTGTTTTTTGTTCAAAGCACCCTTGGTCAACGCGCAGGATCGTATAACCAACACCATCGTGAAAACGCGCGCGTGTCACCATGACGACGCTGCTACTGGCTCCGCGCTCTCCGTCTCGCTCATGGAGTACGGAGGACGGATATTGCAACTCGCTCAGGTGGGGTATGCACTCTGTACACCAACCCCGGGCTCTTCGGTGCAAATATCACCCTGTCGTGTACCGTGCGTGGCTCAACCATTAGTCCGAGTTAGTCTGCTGATACGCGCGCTTCAACTGGCCTGCCGAGCGCGGCTTTTTGAATCTCGAGTGTCGCCTGCCACGAGCGCGCTTCGGTGCGTTTTTCCGCGAGTGAGTTTTCAACGAGACTAGAATTGTTTTTTCATGTTTATTTTTGGGTAATTACGTCTATTTGTTGCGTTAAGCTCGGTTGAAGCGTAAGATATTGAGTGATTTGTTGTATTGGGTCAACATTTTGGAAAATAATGAAAGTTTTATGCAATTTTGTGTTATTTGATGAAATTAAATTTTAATCACAGTGATTTTTGGAGTGCCATTTCCAGGCGCAGTATAAATATCCAGTAAAACTATCCAAGTCACACCAAAACCGCGATGTTGTGCAAGAGATGCGGACATTGCCAAGTTATTAGCTTACGATGGTAGCCGCACAATCTTCAAAACTATTACCCAAATGATCAAAGAGTTACGGTGCCACGACCAAAAGAAAAAGTAGCCGACTTTTCCGCAAGTTGAGCGTCGCACTTTTCTCCCTCGAAAAAGTTTTTTCTCTCGTAATGCATGTAATCACTTCTTTCCTTGTGAAATCGTAAAAATTTTCGGATCAGCCACGCACGGCTGGGATTACCGGTGAGATGAAAAACCCCTTTGTACCTTCCTGCCTTTTTACTGATTGGACTGAAAGTTCTCTAATCTGTCTCCTGTACAAATGCAGTTTATCGTTAAATGGAACTAAGCTAGAGCATAAATCTAAAAAAACCTATTCAAAAAAATTTAAGTAACTAAACCCTAAAATTTATAATTGTCGGGTAGGATATACTAAAATTATTAAGATATCGAAATTCAAGAAGCCTCCGCGATGTTTACCGCGAGAAAGTTATCTTGATGGAATTGCATCTACATAACTTTGGATGTAACAACATTTGTTTAAAATGAACAGAGCTTCTTGACAATGAGCTGATGCAGCTATTAGCCATGACCTCGGATTTAATCTTAGTAAACAGCCCTCAAAACATTTGGCTAATGTAAGTAACGGCTTAAGTGATGCATCTTCTCGAGAAAACAGAGAGGACGCATCACGCATTTACACGTCTTTGGCTTGATAGAACATTTCATTAGTCTTGGAGGTTTCTCAAGCTTTTTATATAATTAAACGTCATGCTTTTTCTTTAAATACATTGTTTTAATGAAAAACGTATAAAATTTAAATAGAATATCAACAAAAGTGTCATTTTGATACATAAATTGTTGTAAGGTAACATATTGCACAAATAATATTAAAAAGGACAAAATAATTTTATACAATATCAATATTCAAGGAAATTGGATCAATGCTATGATCGTGAAAAAATTTGTTTGTCAGAACATGATATCTGTGTACAAGAATGATGATGAATTAATTGAACTGTCTTATTAAGATGATTGGACCATATATAAAATTATTGCAAATTTAAAATTATTGAATTCATGTAGCTATGAAAGACTCATAATTTAAAAAGAATTTTGTGATTTTATCCATAGATACTTATTATCTGATAATTACCTTGAAGAAGATAAACATTAATGTAACTTCTAAACGATTATTATGAATTAAAAATAATAGTTGGACCTCTATTTATTTCTTCTACTATTTTGTTGAAAAATTTTTTAATTTATGTACGTGAAGAACTTTATTAAAATTTTCATAAAATTTAATACGCAAGTCAGATTAAATATTTTTAAACAAACTTTTTCAGTACAAACAAATATTACTACAACAAATGAATTATCTTTGATATAAAAATATACTATAATTAACAAAAGAAAAAAAGCCTTATGGTATATTTGGTGCAAACTAAATTTTTTAATAGCTTATAACATTGATAAAAAAATTAATGTGATGCAGATTAACTGTACGTTATGTTATCAAATGCATATTTGTTAGATGAAATTTTTCCTCCATGAACAGTTGCAATAAAATACTGACATAAATGGCGGTGAAATAAATTAAATTACTAATTAACTTTATCGAGGAACAAGCAGGGATCGATTTTCCTCGTCATAACGAAAAATGGGATATTCCAATTCGCGATGTTTCACACGCCCACGAAACAACAACCGATCTTTTTTTTTACCTCTTCCCCTCGACTCTCAAGGACGGCAACTCCATCGGATTAGAGTACGCGAAAGCGACTCAGCCGCCACTGGCAAAAGGTAAAATTCGCCGCGAGTAATTGGATTCTAATCGGATACACGTGGGAGCCTCGTATATAATTACGTGCTGAACTTGGAAGTGCACATCGGAAAGACTCCAGTTACCGATATAATTTACGGATCGTATGGGACGTACACGCTATACGAATGATTGGGAAATTCGTTTGGAGCGGCAGCTAAGGTCAAAATGTTAAATTTTTCACTTGTTCTTTTATTTTAATATTGTTTTAATTACTTCTATGTGTAAATTTTATGTACGAAGCAATTTTTAAATCAACGGAGTACGAGCACATTAGTTAATTCAACACGAAAATCTGAATTTACAAGCCAGAAGAGAAATTTTACATACATTATCACAAAAAAAAACAACAACACAAATGTCATACTTGATCCAGAATATTTATCGAGCACATGATACTTAGCACGTACACTCAAATAATGGCATATCACGTTTTTACTTGAAAAAATTTGTAGTGTAAAATTAAACAGAAATGGACAGTGTTATTAAGGACATTAATATTAAATATCATTCAAGGCTGCCTCATAAACTCAATGCACTGCAAAGGGTACATTTTATTCAACTACGTACGTGTACACATAACGAGAAAAAAGACACAAAAGAAAAAGAGCATATGTAAGTCGATGCGCGTGTTCTCCCATCGCGGGTAAGGAAGTTGGCAACTTCCAATCTCTTGTCGGCTTTCCCGCTTGCGAGCAAGAGTGAGAGAGGTGTGTACATTGCGTGATACCGAAGCCAAAGGACGTGTGGTATATGCGCGCTTGCTCGAGAACATAATCCGCTCTCAGGTCTTTGAGATATAGAGTTAACCCTTGATAAGCCCAAGAGTTTCCATATCCCAAACGGCATTTTCTACAACTCTTTTGATTTCCCCTGCTCTATACTAATGTAAGGCGAGTTCTAAGAATGTATTTTCATTTTCATTTTTTTGTCGAACAAAATTTTCTGTGCTGTAGGGATTGAAAATTTTAGTATGCATCCATTTTTTTCGACAGTAGTTTCAAGCTTTTTTTATGTAAATATTTGTGAGCTCGAATAACAACAATAATATTTGACGCTTCGTTTTTTATCAGCATCAAAATTATATTCACTCTTTATTTTTACATCTCAAAATGTGTCAAATCTGTCGAATCTCCTAAAGGTTGGCGTAGTGGAAAGAACGTTAGCAATTTCGTAAAACGTCAAAAAGATTTTCAAATTTCATTTGCTACTTCAAGAAATTGTGTCTGCATTTCTCGAGTATACTATCAAGATTACTTTTGACTCTTCATATTTAGAACATACACGGAGTTTAATGGGATTTATAATTTTTACTTGGATATTGGCAATTTTAATGTCATGCAATTTTTTAAACAGACTTGCAGAGCAAAATTTACAAATATTCTTCACTGATTATCTATTAGGAAGATAACGCAAGGGAAAGTCTTATTTAAAAATAGCAAGTTAAATTAACTACCAATTGTAGTTGTAAGTTTATTTATTTTTTTATTTATTTTTTTTTTTGTCAATTACAAGAAAATTTCAAAAAAATTTTTGTACCAAACGTTTGACAGACTTAAAAAAATGTCCACAGCTTCTCTACGTGATATCGTTTAAGACGTAAAACAAGTAACAAACAAGTTCTATAGTAAAAAATACTTGAAAGTTAAGAAAATTTTAGCACAAGAAAGATTTATACTACAATGAAATGTTCATAAAAAGCTTTCTCTTTTTTCGATATACGCATACTTTACCTTCTCTTCGTGTATACATGCGCAAATAAAACGCACACGCATACGCCCATCCCCTCCAAAAACAGGCCTAGATGCCTCAGGGATCTCAGGAGGGGTGCCTTACATAAAGCCTGCAAAGCGCGCGCTACATTCTGCGCCTCGAAATTGAAATATGAGATTGGCAATCCGTGAAATCAGGATAAATAAGAATATTTTATAAGCTCAGGCGGGGGCTGTGAGTTTTCTAAAGGGTATTTTTTACCAGCCTGCATTGAAACCGTAAAAAAAGGGATTTTATTGTATTAAAAAAAAAAAAAATTTTGCAATGTATTTAGAATTTACCAGTTGTTCCGCAATAATAAAACCACAGTTGGATCCGAAAATATCTTCCTATAAAATTGTAGACAAAAAAATTTTAATTTTATATTTTCCAAAAATTACCATACGTCGTTAAAATATTTTCAACAACAAATGTACTGAGAAGCATCGTTTTTAGTCGTCAGGGCAGAATAAAACGTTTTTTGGAAACAAACGTAATATTGTCAGTCGCATCATTTGAAAAGAATTATGATTTATGATTGAAAGGAAAAAAAAAACCCAACAATTCTTGGTCGTGATTCACTACAAATGTTTTGTTCAAAGCATCATGGTATGAGTTGAAAAATTTTTTTAAACAAAAACTTCAAAAAAAAAAAAAAATTCAATTCTAATAGTTTAATATTATTCTCGTTGTATACACTCGGAGTCCATAGATTTATTAATCAACTCTCTTTACTGAATTAGATTATCAAAGTTCGCTTCAGGACGGTACAATTATCAATAAGTATCCTTAAAAAAAAAAAAAAACGCTCCACGACCTCCAAACATCTCGAGATCACAACGAAAACGCAATTGTTAGAAAAAAAAAAAAAATGTGAACATTTTCTCCTCGTAATACCACACGTAACCGAGTAACCCCGGGCAACCTATCAAACCGTTGCACCCCTCGTATAAATAAAACAACCACAAGGTACTCCCGTACCGAAGCGTTCGCCGGCTGAAAATTTCATTTTGCGACGGGCGAACGAAAAAGTAGGCGGCCTAATTGAATAAACTCCCTGTCAATCCCCATCCAAAGTAGGTGCCTACACGGAGGGGAAGAGAAGAAGCAGCAGGCGCCAGTATAGTTCATGCCTTTGTGTCAGGGGATT